GTTACGGCCGTAACTTCTTTAGTGCTTAATTAATTAATTAAATGAATAAAAGTAGTTGTTTTCCTTGGGGCCAGAGCCACAGAGCCAGAGGAAATAAGGTCGCCAGTGTCTTAATATCATTGCTTTCGCGTGTTTGCACTCGTAGATAAAAGCCAGAGACTTTATAGCCAGCCGCAGCGGAATAGATAAAAAGTGGCAATAATCAAGCAGAAACCGCGACTAGGCTGTGATTTATGCGGTATCTAATGTCGTGGCACCGACCCCGATAAGGCACGCACCCCGAAATGCGCCAAATTCCGGCGAAGGGAACCGCATCAAAAGCGACCCAAGGGCGTCACTGCTGCAGCACCAGAGTCTTGGCTTGGCTTGGCTTGGCTAGGTTTGGCCCTTGTAAAAGTGCAGTTTTTTGAGCAAACAGACGAGGCGGCAAAGGAAAATGTGAATCATGGCGACGGCGACGGCTGACGCGCCAAAACTGATAAGAAAACAAAGACGAAATCACATGTGAAAGTAAGAAAAAGGAATTTCTCGCTGGCGAGATGAGTTCAGGGGCAAAGGTACGATGAGTACGCCGGCAAACATTCGGCGGATAGATTGTGGAACGGAAATGAAACACCTACGCAAATAATGCAGGCGATGAGTAGACACGGGCGCAAACAAGCCACATCCTAATTTAGATAAGAGCCGCCAGTCCGCCAAATGCTCGTATTCCAGCATCCCATTCCATGCCATCCCATCGCAGCATTCCAGAGCACCGTTTTATGGCTCCGAAGAAAGTAATCGGAGCCCTGTCCGCCACTGCCACCCTTATGGGTTGGCTGCCCTCTGTCCAACGTGCTCTAATTAATGCAAGACCGCGGTATTCCGTGGGCTCTCCTTTATATGTATGTACATGTACTGTACGTACCCTTTGGAAACTGCTCTAGTTTCGGTGGTGTCACCTTTTGGCCGGGTGTGTGCGTATCTGTATCTGTGCGGCGAGTATCTGCGGATGCTGGGCTGCGGTTCGCCGGGGCATTGTCTGCGTGGCAGGGGCAGCCATAAAATTGGCATTGTTGTATTGTTGTCTACGGTAAACACGCGCGCAATGCGGTCGTAAAACAAAAGACGCTTTTATGGTTACGCTCATTACGGCACATGCAACACAGAGACGCGTTAAACAGCTACACACTAAAGATACAGAACCGTTCAGACAACAGCCAACACATACAAGATATATACTGACTACGAGAGGTTGGATAACTGCCCTGCAGATAATACTCGTACGCGTACGAATTTCTCCCTCACGGATCCATTAGGCTTTCATCAGAATTCCGATATAAACAAATTAATCACTAATTTGTTGAAAAGAGCCGAAACAAGATTCCCAATTTGGGTAAAACCTGTTGGTCCCTGTAGAAAGTGATGCGGGTAATACTTAACTAGAACTTGGGCACTGAGGCAAAAATATTCCCCTATTTCCCACCCTGACAGAATGTGGGGATAACAGCATAAAACACTAAAAGGATTCCACTCAAAGGACCAGCCATAAGCAGCCTCCAAATGCAGAGCACGTGCCCTCGATTTACATGCAAAGCCCGAAAGCAAACCCCATAAAAAAAACTTCATGATCTTTGGGGATTTGTTTGCCCGAGATATTAGAATGTTGCGATCTGCTGTTGTTGATGCAAATGATTAAATAATCACTAATGAGCATCGATAATTGGGCTAAGCCAAAAAAAATGAGCAGAAAGAAAAACAATTCAACCGACATTGATGCTCGCTGTCCGCTGTCCGGTGTCCGGTGTCCGCTGATTCCGATGTGTATGCGGACAGGCCCACGAGTGGACAAAGTATTTTAATTTGTGTGAAAATATTGTACAAACAAATAAATCAACAATCACAAATAATAACAATAAAAATTCAGATACAGATACATAGACAGAAACCGAAACAGATACGGATACATGCCAAGCGACGGGCAGACAGGCAGACCGGCAGACAGCAGACGTCATCTACTCGTATCTGAGAAATGTTGGTCAAATGCTTTTATAGATATAAATATATATATTTATGTACTATATGTTTGCATGGATGGGTCTCTGCAAAGTCATTGCTACATGGCGCATGCGTCGCAGAAGTGCTTAAAACAAACAAAAAGCGCAGCATTTTAAAGTAATATCAACAACAAAATCAAAACATCGCTGGGAAAAAAGTAGTAAAGTCAATATTTTCCATAAATATGCACCGAGGGGTTGATGCTGGCGGGGGTGGGATGGTGTGCGCCCCCAACAATTGAAACTAATTAAAAAGTTTGAGCAGGGCTTAGACCCGATTTGCCAGCCGAGTGCAGCCGAACCTCCCCCACTGTATCAAATCGTGTCGTTGCAAAACCCAATCCAACCCTAGTAAAACCAAACTGAATGGAGCACCCCCATCCCACCCACCCAGTGGCGCGCTTTTAAAGCAAATAAATAAATAGATAAATGACTAAAAGGTAAATAAATACGCGTACACATTTTTGGACTGCTGCCATTACTACGAGTATTTGCCAAGAGTCTACGCCAAAAAAAGTGTACTGTACGGATATATATTATTATAAAAGCGTGATGCGCTTCTGCCACTCTATAGCACACACACACACACACAATCATTAATGAGCCAGAGCCACTTGAATGGCCTGTGAAATACAATAAAAATATATACCTAGCATTTAAGCACATTGCGGTGATTAGAAGTGCACATAAAGATATTCATATACGAGTATGTACATAAAGTCAATGCCAAGATGTTTGATGTTTAATGATAATGTCAAGATGAGACACATACGAGTATATATAGATGTTGGAATGCTCTGCTGCCTATGCACATAAACAGAGTTGGAACCGATTATGTAGATGTACGAAAACACATACATTATATGCCTCAAGTCAATATTTTCATCAATAACTATTTGGAAATGTTTCTTCGAGTGGAAAAATTAATGTTAATATGTGTAGATCTTTTAACGATCATAAAGCTTAGTATAAATATCTACATGGAATTCTTTGACCTAAACTTTACGCTACTCAAAATAGGGGATTTTTGTATCTTCCGGAAATATGATTGCTTGGGTCAATATTTGATTGAAACATTAATAGAATGTGATGCATAAATGTTAAATAATTTAATATCATCTCCATATATGGTGGTTTGGGAACTTATTTGTTTTAAATGCCAACATAAGGGTCCCCGTCCCCTCATCGAGTATCATAAATGGGGGAATCATATCCCAATACGGCGCCCAAATTTAGACTATTACAAGAAGTACAGGAAACGAAAAATTCTGCATGTCAATATGGGAAATGAGGAATTTCCGCAAATATCTGAATCTTCAGGTAGATCTCAATTGGGTGCATCGTTTCATTGAGAAATGAAAACAAACAATTCGTTTATGGCTGCAATAATGAGCCTCGCACACACTCATGGACACTCGCACACACCTACACAACACACAGATACACACACACGCAAGCACACGCACACTCATGAAGGAAGAGACACTGGCACACTTGGCTAGATGAAAGGGTTAAGAGCGGAATGGAATGCACAATGGAAGGCGTCAAGCGGTGTTCGGTGTACGGTGTAGTACGGCGGAACCCGTTCCGAATCTTGTTTATAACCGAAATTAAAATGCGTTTTATCCGCGGCCATAAAACAGAAACAGAAATCTGCAGCCTGTCTACCAGGAAGTATTCCACATCCACGCGCTCTTCATTTACATCAATGAATGGTACAGACTCCAGTTACCATGTCCAGGTAGCAGACATCCGCTGGAGTCTGGGATGGGTCTGGGAATGAGGATGAGGCCAGAACTGGGTCACTTTCGCAATGACTTGCCAAAAAGGAAAGATGCGCTCTGCTGTTGTTGCTGCTTCTACTTCTGCTGCTTGTGCTGCTGCTGTTGGTGCCGCTCGCGATGCCTCGAATGCCATGCCACGAATGTGAATGAGAATGAATGAGAGTGACATTGGCATACCTTAACCTCAAATGTGCAGAGGGTCTAAAAAACGAACGAATGAGCAAAAAAAAAAAAACAACAACACTAGGCACACACACACACACACACAAACACACACATACACATATATTATTAATGTCTTCTTTGGGAGCCAAAAGGCGTTCTTTTTTTGTTCTCTGGCAAAGCATAGAGCGTCGTATGGCCCCGTCTCGCAGCTCTCAGAGGCGGCACAGAGTCCCGCAGTCGATGTAGTAGGAGAGTCTCTCATCTCAGCTCAACCAAAGCCCAGACGGGGAATCGCCCCCCACGTCTCCATCGTCGTTGGAGTTGGAGTTCCAGTCGAAGTTGTAGACTTTTTCAGGTCTTCTTTTTTAGCTTGGCTTGGCGGACGAGCGTGCGAGTGGAAGCGGGAGCGAGCGATTATTGATCGCATTAGGGAAAATCGTTAACTGTAACATGGCGTCGCTCAGGCAGGCCCTGGCATTAGGCGCTATCTGTGTGCATCTGTGTATGTGTATGCTTGTATGCTTGTATGCGTGCAAGTGCGAGTGAGAGTGAGTGAGTGCGAGTGCCGTGCCCGATGCAGCTGCTCCATATCGCATGAGAGGGCGTTGCTCGCTCTTTCGCTGCTTACTTTGGCCACGCCCCCGACACGTCCGACTATCAGTTGTCGTGGCAACCGCGCGCGTCCACTGCTGGCTGCTCTGTTGATCCAAGAGCCAAGAGCCCAGAGCGTTCCGGCCAATGCGCTTGCGCCGCTCCGAGCGTGTGCGTAAGAGAGCGAGAGCCTGTCATTGGCAAGGCCTCAGCAGGCGACGGTGGTTGTAGTTGTAGTTGTATCGGGGTGCATCTGTGTGTGTGCGCTGGCCTCTGGGCCCATGGGTGAGAACGAGTCAGAGTTGTTGCTGCCACAGCCACTGCTGTCGACGTCGACGCTGGCTTCGGCATCGGCATCGGCAACGGCAACGGCACTTGAGCGCGGCTCGAACAATATTTGTTGGCAGCAAGCGCAAGCCAAATAGTAGACAAGCGTTCCCCTCTGCAAACAGTCACATTCAAGAGCTCAAGCCAAAGAGACACTCGAGCGGACCAGCAGCAGCGGCAGCAGCAGACTCAACCTCAGCATCAGGCTACAGCTACAGCTACAGATTCATCTCTAGATACAGCTACCAGCCACCAGCCAGCCAGCAGCAGTTCTCAGCATCATCCACAGCTTCAGTGGCCAAAAGCCAGCTAACAATTCACGTTCGTGCGTCGGTTTTTGTTGCGGCGCGGCGCAGGGCTCAGAGCAGCGGACAACAAGAGAATTATAACAAAACATAGAGCCATATTTGCCACGTTATTTTATTGCCAAATTTGCTTAAGGCATCGCACACAGGCGGGCCACACAAATAAATTAATCAAAGTGTTTAGTGCACAAACAAACAGTGCTCAAAATCCAAAAACAAAATAAAAACCAACACGAGAAAGAAAGAAAAGCTAAATCCCAAAACCCAAAACCGACAACCCACAACCAGAGAGTAGAACTTTAATGCAAGTGTCGAGGTCGAGTGCAGTGCACCATCAAACATGCCACAAATCATAGTAATAATCACATCAATTAATGCAGTGATAGTGCACTGAACCAAAACGATAATAAACGAATCGATAATTAATCGAGTAACATAAAACAACGATCGCAGATCGACTATCCGGAGAATTCGGACCGAAGCCATAGAACTATTTTGATTTTCCGTTTTTTGTGCGCGTCCCTTGCACGCGTCGAACTTTCCCTCGCTTCTCCTGGGGACAGTGCGTCCGAAAGCCGGCAACATAACGGCGCAACTATTGAACAGCTTTCTGAAGGGTAGCCCCCACCAGACCACCATTGACATCATGCAGAAGCTCTACGCGGAGCCGCCGCCCAGCAGCGGGGCTCCGGTGAGCATGTCCTCTGGGGGCGGCCCGCCGCCGGGTGGCCCTCCGCCCTCCAGCATCAACAACAACCCGAACCCCACCTCGAACGGCGGCAGCATGAGCCCGCTGGCCAGATCCGCCTACACAATGAACAGCATGGGAATCCCGGTGGGCGGCATGTCCTCGGTGTCCCCCCAGGCGGCGGCCACCTTCGGCTCCAGCGTGCTCGACTCGGCGGCGGTGGCCAGCATGACCGGCAGCATGGGAGCGGCGGCCATGAACTCGATGGGCGGCAACTGCATGACCCCCAGCTCCATGAGCTACGCGAGCATGGGCTCCCCACTCGGCAACATGGGCGGCTGCATGGCCATGTCGGCTGCCAGCATGTCGGCGGCGGGACTGAGCGGCAACTACGGGCCCATGCCGCCGGGATCGCGCGAAATGGAGACGGGCTCCCCCAACTCGCTGGGCAGATCGCGTGTGGACAAGCCGACGACCTACAGACGCAGCTACACGCACGCCAAGCCGCCGTACAGCTACATCTCCCTGATTACGATGGCCATACAGAACAACCCGACGCGGATGCTGACGCTGTCGGAGATCTACCAGTTCATCATGGACCTGTTCCCCTTCTACAGGCAGAACCAGCAGCGCTGGCAGAACTCCATCCGCCACTCGCTGAGCTTCAACGACTGCTTCGTGAAGATACCGCGGACGCCGGACAAGCCGGGCAAGGGATCCTTCTGGACGCTGCATCCCGACTCCGGGAACATGTTCGAGAACGGATGCTACTTGCGGCGGCAGAAGCGCTTCAAGGACGAGAAGAAGGAGGCCATTCGGCAGCTGCACAAGAGTCCGTCGCACAGCAGCCTGGAGGCGACCAGTCCGGGCAAGAAGGACCACGAGGACTCGCACCACATGCACCACCATCACCACAGCCGACTGGAGCACCACCAGCACCACAAGGAAGCGGGCGGCGCCTCTCTGGCCGGGGTGAATGTGCTGAGCGCGGCGCACAGCAAGGACGCGGAGGCCCTGGCCATGCTGCATGCCAACGCGGAGCTCTGCCTGGGACAGCAGCCACAGCACGTGCCGACGCACCACCACCACCAGCACCACCAGCTGCAGCAGGAGGAGCTGTCGGCGATGATGGCGAACCGGTGCCACCCGTCGCTGATCAGCGACTACCACTCGTCGATGCATCCACTGAAACAGGAGCCCTCCGGCTACACTCCCTCCAGCCACCCGTTCTCCATCAACCGCCTGCTGCCCACGGAGTCCAAGGCGGACATCAAGATGTACGACATGAGCCAGTACGCCGGCTACAACGCCCTCAGCCCGCTGACCAACTCACACGCTGCCTTAGGCCAGGACTCGTACTATCAGAGCCTCGGCTACCATGCGCCCGCCGGCACTACGAGCTTGTGACACCACCAGTACCCCTTAGCTTAAGGGCGCGCGGAGCAGATGCTGCGCTCGCAGCAGCAGCAGCACTTGCAGCAGCACCACCAGCAGCAGCAGCAGGCGGCGCAGCAACTGACATCCGCTTCAAACACCACACCAACGACAGCACCCAAGGCCAGCAGCAAGTCGGGATCGGGTTCGGGTACGGGTTCAGGCTCCGGCTCCGGATCGGGCTCAGGCTCGGGATCAGTGTCCGCATCAGCATTGGCCACCGCCTCAGCGTCGGTGGTTAACTACTCCCAGAAGCTGCAGCAGCAGCAACAGCAGCAGCAACAACAGCAGCAGCAGCAGCACCAACAGCAGCAGCAGCAGCTGTTGCACAGTCAGCTCTCGGCGGAGCTGCAGGAGGACTCCTCGAACATCACCAGCGACCTCAGCGAGGAGCAACTGCAGCACCAGGCGGCGCAGCAGCAGTACAACAACTACCAGCAGTACGCGGCGGCCGCCAGCTACCGGAACTGGAATCACAGCCTCACGTTCAATGGAGCCGCCGCTCTGCAGAACCTCCTGTAGCCCTGGCCCCGGACAAGCGGCGGCTTTGTGGCACCCAAGGGCATGGCCATGGGCATGGGCATGGGCCTGTCAATTAGCGAGTGCAGTTCCACTGGCTTTTAGCACCTGGGCGCATCCTTTGAGCACGTGAGTAGCCAGGGCTAGGTTCGAGATCAGGTTCAGGTTCAGGTTCAGGTTCGGGCCCACACACACACACACTTGTACATAGACACCCATCGAACCCATCATAGACCTACTGCTAGGCTAACACTGTCTTAGTCTTTGCCTTTATGTTTGTTTTTTCTTTTCCTTTTCCTTTTCCTTTCCAATACCCGGTGTATCGTTCTGTTGGGGAATCCAAGAAACAAGAAAAAAGTGATGTAGTTGTAAGTGCAGCGATCGGGGGCACGGCCACCAATCCAATGTGGGGCGACTGCCCCCCGAGCTCTAAGAACTTTTGTTAACATTTTATGTTCTTTTGCTAATACATACAAACAATATAATTCCGTGCCATTTGTTTTCGTTGTCGAAACAAGCAATAACAATCAAAGCGGTTAAAACTACAAATTTAAACATTTTAAATGTAACACAGTGAGAGAAATAGAGAGAGAGAGAGATGGTAGGGATAGTACAATCCCTACTGAGAGAGAGAGAGGGAGAGCTTAGCGGGACCGTGTGTAATGTTCTTTCAGAAACGCTAAAACTAAACTAAAATGTCCCAAAAAGAAGCACAAATACAAATACTAAAAGAAACCTTTATCCAAAGGCAATCGAATTCGAATCGCAAATGATCAAAAAACCAAAAAAAAAACTAAGCCCTATATCATCATATATTCAGCAGTCCAGCGAAAAAACACCTTAAGAATCTTCAAAATACAAACAAGAAATCTGGCCATGCATAGGAAACGTCACGTCTTATACTATATAATTTATGCAACAAAAACAAAAATTGTCATTTAAATACATGCTATACATACACATGTATCCACGGATATGTGCAGATATGTATGTGTGTATGTATATCAGACTTCATTTACATTGTGTGTCTTCTGTTGTTTTACGAATTCGTTAGGCTAAGGCATTTTGTAAATAATCTATAAATAGTACGTATTCCTAAGAGAGAGAGAGAGAGAATCCCCTTTACCCCCACCAACCCACTAAAACCCAACTGTCAGCCCACAACAATTTTAAACTAACTTGAGAATTAATCAAATTGTATGCTATGCCATACACACACACACACACAGACACACACACACACACACACTCTCCACACACACATGAAATAAAATTAAACATATATAAATATTGTATAGCATTTAACATTTAATTAGCATAAATAATGATGGCAGCACACAGCAAAAACAAAAACAAAAACAGAAAAATGGTAAAAGCATAAAAAAAGATAAAGAATATGAGAATGCAATTATTATTCAATAATTTTTAATATTAGTTATATTGTGCGTAAAGTATGAAAAAACCAACAAACAAACAAAAACAAACAAACGTATAAAAAAGACACATTTTTACATTGAGCTAAGCTAATTAATTAAACTTGATAAAAACAAATAGTTTAAATATGAAAAAAACCAACAACCACACTGAAACAAATGAAATTTATTGTAAAATAAACACAATATGAAATTCAATAAATGTCAATGCAAAAATTAAAATCCAAACTCTAAAGCTAGTTAAAATTAATACTATTATAAATCATGCAAAAAAAACAAAACAAAAACAGCCACAAAACCGACTATTTTAATGTTTGAAATACATGAAAAAAGTAAAAAAAAAAACAAAACAAAAACAATATCATAAATTAGTTTTCATTTCCCAGGCAATCAAAGCAATACCTACCTTTGTTGACTTAAACAACTGACCTCCAACAATCATTTCTATATTGATTGGGCTGGTCTGGTCTGGTCTCTGTCGTCTCGCGGTCCTATCTACGGGGTATCGATGCAGCAAATTGAACGACCGATAGTGGTTCCGAGAGGTGCCATCCCTATCTTATCGCTACTCAGATGCAGAGTGCAGTTTTCCCCCAGTTTCGTTCTGTTTTCCGCTGATAAACCCAGCTCTTATCGCCCTGCACTCATAAATTGCAACGGAACAAGAAGGTAAACAGCCACGTCCCATCCCGGACCTGACTAACCCATCTCAACCCAACCCAACCCCAGTTCCAGTCCCATTTCCAGTCACCACCACCTATCCCTCTTCTTCTTTGGTTCTGTTTGCTTTAGTAATATACAGAGAGGAGTATACGATCCCTATCGTGGCCCTTATCTCTGGTATATGTATATGTATATTCCGACAAGCACAGCCTGATCAGACGAATTTCCCCCCCTGTTGGGGCGTAGGTAACGACAGTTACAACCTATCCACCGTTGATTATCATCGGTGTGATTCATTTAAAAGAAGAATCTATGATACCAGAGTTCTCGGACAGCCTGGGGGCCAGAGGCATTACAATTTTACCAACAGTTCAATTTATCTGGGCGCTGCAGACCCCGCGAATGTTTAACAAGCTGTTGTCTTTTTTAATTAAGCAGGAAGGTCACCAGAAATCTATATCTATACAGTACATGCTCATGTATATATCTATACGAGTGTGTGTGTATATCTCGTATACAGAATTTTATATGTGGGCAACTTGCTTTAATACATTTTTTATAGCCTCTGCCATGGGTAGAACGGCACTGTTCCATAAAGAGCGCGCTTTGTTGTTCGCCAAGGGTTTGGGAATTCTGTTCTGTCTGTCCCTGGGACTGAGACTGGGACTGGGAGTCGGTCTGGGTCTGGGTCTCGGTTTGGGAGCGACAACAAAATGGCGCTTGGTTTGTTGTCGCTTCAATTTCGATTTTTCCTTGACATTGTGACTGTCAGCAATTTGTTGGAGTTTCTTCATTTTACTCCCGCAAACAACCCCATCTGTGTGCGGGGCTTGCGAGATCTGTGTCTTGGGGTTGGTTCGGCTAAACCGACCACCCAACCAAGCCACCCACTCAGCCGCGCCACCCAACCACCCAACCCCCAACCCCCATTTCCACTTGTCCACAATTTATATATCGATGCCTTAATGCCAGACATGCGCGCTGAAGACGCTCCACGGGGGAGGAGGAGGAGGAGGTGGCGGGGATGGTTTGGTGGTGTTCCGAGTTTGTTGAGCTCTCCAGACAAGTCAGAACCAGCCATGTCCTCCCATATCTATTCATAAACGCCACCCACACGGCCGCCGCTTGCGAGGGGGGACCCCATCAATATGTAATTATTCCGTCGAAGACAGATTTAAAATTCCATTTTCAACAAACAACAAGTTCGGGTTAAACTTTTCACAACTTCCCAGAACAAAACCATTAGGAAATTGGCAGAGAGTAAAAATTGTGATGACATTTTGTTGGTCATTAAACATTGATGATGGCCAGCCAGGGTTCGCATTGAAATGCGAATAATCATCGCATGTCTATGACCTCAGCGCACTCTCCCTTTTCGCTCCCCATTTCCAGTGTGTGGTGTGCCATATACTCACTCGTATTTTATTATTTACACAACATAGAAATTAGTCAAAAGCAAAAGTTTTAAATTGAATTTTTAGCTGCAAAATTTCATGCATCCGAATTTCAATTTTGGTTTCCGTTCAGCAGGGATTGTGGCAGCAAAGTTGCGAGTAAATCCAGTCCGTGCCGGCCGGGGGCCTGAGGTTTTACGGCTGCTGTTCTGCTGCTAATAAAGAACCACAATCTTGTAGTAATTTTCTAATGGAATATTTAATTTTAAAACGAGACACAGCAGAAAAATGGTTGGGCAACCCTTTTTTCCATTGCTGCAGGAACAGAGCAGAGCAGAACAGAACAGCATGGAGCGGAGCCGAGCAGCAGCGGCTTATGCCGGATGGATACACAGGAAGTAGTAGTGCCTTTGGTAGCCTCCATTGCCAGCCCCATCTGGCATTTTGCTCAGTCTTCACAGTGCCTGCCCCCATGATGGCAGTCAAAGACAGCAGCACGTAGCAATGGCGCAGGCAGGCAGGCAGGAAGGCAACGTGGCAACATGGCACCGTGGCTGTTGCTGCAGGGGCAGCATCCGCTCGGTTGGCTGACTGGTTGGATGGTTGGACGACCCCCATGGACCCCTCTCTCTCTCTGTCTCTCTCTCTCTGGGAGCTCCACTCTTTGTGCTTTGTGCACTGCTTTTTCATTATAATAATACTTTGTAATTAGGTTTTCGAAAGTTAATTAAAATTCGGTTATGAAAGCGGAAACTTTCTCATGAACGCTTCCGGTTATAAAAACGCATGAAGGGGGTTCGCTAGGGGTTGCTGGGTGCTTGGGGTAGAATAGGTGGTGGTTCGGTGGTTGGGCATTGAGCGGGGGCGGGAGCGGGGGCTTCTGGGGCTCGGCTCGGCTAGGCAAATGGAAAATGGAAAAAACTCTGAAAAAAAGGATTTTCGGTCTCCGGTTGAGCTGCAGCCAGAGACAGACATAGAATAAAAGATGGAAATGTACGAGTGTAGGAGGCGAGTGCTCCAAAAGGAAAACCATTGAGAGGGGTAGACACAACGGCACAGAGAGAGACAGTGAGAAAAGAGAAGAGAAAGTGGGGCGAGTAGAGGACGGGAGGAGAGACGGCGGCATGGCTCTCAACTTTGTTTCGAGGAAATTTTTGTGCAAACATTTCTCTGAAATTAAAAAATACATATTATATTTTAATGAGCAAAATGGCTACCAACGCGCCATCGCAGTGGTTCTTCCTCGTCTCTCCGCTGCTGTTGTTGTTGTTGTTGTTGCTGTTGCTGTTGTCGTTGTCACGTTTAATGCGAACCGCGCCCAGTCGCAAGGTTGTTCCGTTCACAACATTGCGAACGGGATAATTAAAATGATGACTTGAAAATAAATTGCTGTTATCTCTGACCAACAGGCTGCCTGCCTGTCGTAGAGCCAGCGACAGCGAGTCAGGGCTGGGCTGGGCCGGGCCGGGCCTGAACCAAAGCCAACGCCAGATACGACCCCACCCAAAACCGTTGCTGGTTGTCGATGACACGTCGATGTCGACAGCGCCACATCATTATGTACGGGGGAGCGGGCCGGGCAGTCGCCAGTGGGTCCACGTTCCCCCGCTCATTGTCCTCCGTTTGGTGTCGCTCGCTTACACTGAAAATAAAATAGAATAAATTTACTTTCGGAA